GGGTCCCTATGGGGCCACGAAGCGTGCGAGGGGTGTGCCAAAATGGGGCGGCGCCGCCATGCGAGTTCTGCCGCTGGGGCCTTAGGTCGAGCTCCCTATGGAGCCACGAAACATGCGAGGGTGCCAAAATTGGACTCTTGAGGTCGAAGAGGACCACCCCCGTCCCCCGCATAATCTTAACGCGGGGGGCCTGCGGTCGACGGATCCCATTCTTGTCGGTTCCCGGATCGAATTCAATATTATGAATTCAAAACGGGGTAGAAAGGGGATCCGCCGTAAGAAATAAGGTCCGGCGCGGATCCCGAAAATTAGGCACGGGATCCGCGCGCGCGGAAATGAGACCCGCCGCGATTTCACGATTACGGTAAGATTGGACACCAGATCCGTGCGACCTTCACTGGGTTCGCCGCTATGATGTCCCAGAGGGCCCGTGCACCCCGTGGGGCCGCGAGGTTCAGCGCCAAGAAGGGCAAACTTTCGGCCTGGGGATGCATGGGGCCACGAAACCTGTGAGGGGTGTGCCAGAAGGGGGCGGCGCCGCACTGCGAGTTCCGCCGCTGGGACCTTAGGTGGAGCTCCCTATGGGGCCACGAAGCGCGTGGTGTGTGTGTGTGCCAAAATGGGGCGGCGCCGCACTGCGAGTTCCGCCGCTGGGACCTTCGGTGGAGCTCCCCATGGACCACGAAACGTGTGGGGGGTGCACCAAAATGGGGCGGCGCCGCCATGCGAGCTCCGCCGCTGGGACCTTAGGTCGAGCTCCCTATGGGGCCACGAAGCGTGCGAGGGGTGTGCCGAAATGGGGCGGCGTCGCAGCGCGAGTTCCGCCACTGGGACCTTCGACGGAGCTCCCTATGGGGCCACGATGCGTGCGAGGGGTGTGCCGACATGGGCGGTAAGGGTAATGATGATGATGGCGATGATGATGATGTGGATGAAGATGGCGCGGCGGACGATGGCATTGGTGGAAGATGGGCGACGGCGACGACGGCGACGACGATGCTGACGATGGGGGGAGGGGGGGGGCAGCGGGAGGAGGAAGGAAGACGCGGGCGCTGTCTCTTCAAAACGAAGACCCAACACCACAGGATGGTTGGGAACAAGTCCACGTCGGCTTCGCCGACCTCCATGCGCGGGCCCTGGTCGTCATGATAGAAGGAGGCATGCCCCTGCCCCCATCCCTCATCGCTGGAGCTCGCGCCGCGCGCGCGGGCTCGGCCGACCAAGCATAGCCTTTGCCCTTGCAGAGCCAGCGCCGCGAGAGCGGCTGCGGCCTCGACCAGGGCCGCCCGTGTCCGGGCCATATTTGCCAGATTTACCTGGCGCGCCTGGCGTGGCGCGGGCCGCTGGGCCGCGGCCAAGTCGACTGCTTCCTGCGTCGCCCTCGCGGGGGCCGCCCGAGCCAACGGGTGCCTTCCCGGACTTACCCCGCATCCTAAACGCGCTGGCGCGGGTCCGCCCCCACCCTGCTGCCGCCCGCCCCTCCCCCGTGAGTCCGAACGCAGTTGGGGCTGGGGGCGGGCGAAGTCTCGGCTGCTCATGTCCGAGCTGTTCAATTATTTCAGCGTCGGTGGCAGGTATAGTTGCCGCCACGGATATGCAATCGTCGTCGTCGTCGGAGTCTGCCTGCGCGCGTCCGCGCCAGCGCGCGCCGATCCAGTCCTCGACGGGCGCGTCGCACAGCTCCTCGACCCCGCGACGCAGGCAGGCACTCGGCGCAGCGTCCCACCGACATGGCAGCGTCGGCAGAGTGGGCCATCAATAACACAGCAGAACTGGGCGAGAGTAAAAAAGAATGGTCGATGTCAAAGAAATCAACGCACGCAGAAATGTCCGCTTCGGATTGCTCTGGGCCGAGAAATACGGACCCGCCGCCCCCCCCACCTCCCTTGGGGCATTAAACTCTGAAATGATCGTCGCTCCCGCAGGTTTGCCAGTCGTCATTTTGCCGACCCTGCGCATTGGATTGAGCCGGCGCCCCTTGCCCTCGCCTGTTGTACGCCTGCGACCTTTGCCTCTACCTTTACCTCCTAGGTCGTAGTCGGTCAATCGAGCCAGAAACGCAACTACGCCTATGCCATGCAATCCGCGGGCGCGTCTGCCACCTCCGCCGCGACCCTTTTTCTTGCGGAAAAAAACGCGACGTGCGGCTCGCCTGGTCCTTCTAACTGGCAGTTTTTGTTGCCCATATGTCACCCCCACCTCCTTTTGGCGCGATGATAGCCTGGGCATAGGTACCGCGTAGCTGCGCCATTAACGGCGGGCACGTCTGACCAGTCGAGGTTTTCGGCACCAGCAGAGGAGACCGCATCGGTGTCCGCACCGGAATCGAAGACGTCGTCGTTCGCTGGCTGGGTGAGCCCCAGAGGGTTGTCGCGCCAGGTGGTGCATAGTTGGCCGCTGACGGCAAGCCCACGTTTGAGCCAGACTCCTGTTCGTCGCTGTTGTTGGCGTCTTGGCCTAGGAGCGTCGTGGACTCAGTGGGTTCTCCGCGATTCCAGATGCTGTTCGGCATGGCTGTCGGTGTGTCGTGTACTTCGGCGTGGCAAGTGCCAGCGCTGCGTCCGCTGAAGATGTCCCCGATGTTCCCTGGGGAACGCTCAGCCAAGCGTCCATGGCTGCGCATTCGCTCCAGGAGTTGGTCGCACTGTTGTTGAGCACGGGGCATCTGGTGGTTCAGTGGTTGCAGTAACTGCGCTGCTCGGGAGGCACCGACCCCCGAGGCTCGAAATAAGACCAGTGGAAGGATCTGGAAGTTGGGTATGTTGAAGCCTGCTGAGTCTGCTTCCAGCCAGGCCATCTCGAATCGGGCCAGTGCTGAGTCGATGCGCTCGCCTCTCTCGGCTCTTCAGTCGATGAGGGCTGTCCCTGAGGTGAACTGTCGCTCGACCTCGAGGTTTTCGAATTTGGTGCTCACTAGGTACATGATGTATGTGACTCCGTCGGTGCGTCTTTCCTGTAGTGTGACACCAGAGTTGATGATGGTGGACGGCGCCCGCATGGCTAAAGTCCTAGCCAATCCCCCTCAGCCGCGCTGTAAAGCTGCGGCCTGCTGGGGTGGAACCATGCTTCCGCTCGCGACGTTGAGCCATGCGTGAACTTCGCAACCAAAGTCGCGGAAGGGTGCGCTACCTGCGGGATCCCGGAAGGGACCCCGAGTGCGTGTTTCATCCAGTGGTCCTCGTCGCATGTATGTCACGGCAATGCCGAAGCACGCCCAGATGGTTCCAAAGATCGCGACCTTTACGCAGCGCGTAGTCATAGTATAGCTGATGATGTTTGGTTGCGTATCATTGGATACTGTCATGTCCGTAGGGTTACGACTGGGTCTGGTCTGACGTGGCCGTTAGCTTGCGGATCGGTCTCAGTACTTGGGTCGTGCGTGGCGTGTGGCCACGCGGTGGGGATATGGAGGTGTAAGACTGTAAGCTACCAGTTGGTTCGAGAGTATTGTGAACGTAGTAGCTGAGAGCCAGCGCAGTCGGGTACTCCACTGTGACGTGTGAAGGTGCTATGTACATAACACCTGATGTACGAGTCGGCCACATGTAGAAGTAGACAGCTCCGCTACCAAGTGAAAAGTAAGGGTGCTGAGCTTGACCATGAGGTCATACGCTGAGGGCCCTACTCTTAGGATAACGTCGGCGGCGGATCGAAGCATCCCACAACTCACCCCTGATGGCAAGTAGGACGAGAGGTAAAAGAGAAGCCATGGGATGGAGAAGTGGATCATTGACGGACGTGGCCTTTGTCCGATGCAATGATCCCGATAGAGGCGCACATAGTCGTAACCTAGCAAATAGGACAGCACTGCCTTCAGCCAAGGCAGCGTGGGATATAGTGTTCGCTATACAGCCTTTCCTTGAACCTCGTTAAAATTCTCAAGTGCTCTCCGAGCTGAGTTCTCCAAGGTTCCCTCCAAGAGGCCGACACACTTCAACGACCTACAAAAACCATCGATAGTTTGCATTATCGCCGTTCCGCCTCTGTTGGGCTTCTTCTGAGGACCAAGATGGACCAAGAGAGCCAAGAGGGGTGCAATGAGGCCCCAAGACGGCCCAAGAGAAGAGAGCCCAAGAGGCGCCCATGAGCGCCCCAAGAGGGGCCACAATCCCCCCCAAAACAAAATCCTCAAGAAGACCCTAAAACAGACCCCACATGAGGGTCGAAACGGCTTCCCAAATTGTTACATGATGGCTTTAGGATATCTCCAAGAGGCCTCCAAAAGACTCGAGGAGAGAAGGATCCACGAAGGCTTTTTATGGTTCATCTTGGGGCATCTTGGGGACCGGTGGCGCCTGTCGCTGGACAATTTGGACATCCATGTCCAAATTGTCTGGCTGGGGCCGTATCTCTCCTCCCGCAAACTCGTCCTTCCCCTCCGCCATTCCTCATTCGACTGGGCCGCGATCGCACGAAAACTTTACTCCTGAGTCTGCTCAGGCTGATCCAAACATTCGATTTGATTGATTCCTGAACTCTTCCTCTGCATGCTCCCCCACTTCCCTGATCAAGGCAGCTCGCGTGGGCATCGTTTCAGGATGGGCTGATGGGGTCATGCAAAGCATCAAGAATTCAAAAGAGCGCCAGTGAAGGGAAGCTTCGCATAGTGAACCCTGTTCAAGCATGGTGTAACCTTCACAGCTACCTGCCTGGACAAAAGCTATCGGAGATCACAAATCACACCGTGAAGCGGATGGGCATCACCATCTAAATTTGGCGGCGATCAACTCGAATGAGCTCCAACGAAGATTCGTGCACGCTCTGCCGAATCGATCCAATCGAAACCTAGATACCTTGAGAAGTACCCGGCCTGGCGTGAAACCCAAACCAGGCCACATTCAACATTAGCGAACAAAAACATTCAGCACGCAGTGGCCATCGCCGAGACAAGAAGAGCAAATCGTGTATGAGGCAAGGTTTGGTGCGCATTCGGGGGAATACACGGAGAGGAGCATGTGAGCGTGCATGCTGACCAGCTAACATGCAGCAATGCTTCTGGCCTCACAGCGTGCAGAGTGCACGTTCACGCCTGCCACCACCTTGGAAAGTTGGTCTTCGCCGATGAATTGGAGAATCTGATGTCCGGATCGGGGGCCAATGCGCGAACTCTGTCAGATCAATGTAACACCTGACAATGGAGCCCTTGATCGGTGATCGGGACACAGGGTGCTGCTCAAACCACTACAGCAATGCATGTGGATCGGGACCGTTCCAGCTCACGAGCTTCGACGCAGATCTTGGCGAAAGGGAGTCCGAGAGTTTCCCTGGGCTGTTTGAGAGAAGCCCTCTGGGAACAGTTGCCCCGACCTGGCTGATGAAATACCCGCTGCCACGATTGAATGGCCAAGACCGCTCACATGGATGGGGCGGCAGACGCAGAGCAGGCAGACAAGCGGCCACCAGATCTGTGGAAACAGATCTGCGGCAACAGATCTGCGGCAACATGTGGCAACGGCAGTCCAAACCGAATGCCGGACAGGGGACATGACCCACATGTCAGTTGAACACGCATGCTTTTCTGATTGCATCAACTTTCTACCAAGTGTCATGCTCGGGTAGCCTGGCAGCGGATGTATTCTAAGCGCGCCGACTGGAGAATCGTGCACTCTGAGCAGCAGCCCGGCCCATTTGACAGACATTCGGCAGCCCAACCTTTGTACCAGTGTCACACAATGGCGGAGGCCCGCACAAAAAGACAATGTGTCTGAAGAGGACTTGTTTAGAGGAGCCAACAACGGCAGAAACACAAACTGTCGGAGATCCGCGCGGATTTCTTGGATCTGCGCTGGACCCCCCATCCCTGGCGCGCCAGGGGTGGCGCCGCCAGGGTGGCCCAGCGCCGGTCCAAGAAATCTGCTTGGAGAGCCGAAGATGTATGATTACACAGTTTTTCTCCCTGGATGCAGCAATACAGTGGATCCAAAGACGACTTGTTGCGTCGCATCCACCCGATCTGTGGTGATCGCAATCAAGGCAAGCAGAGGCCCCTGCGCTTGCAAACCTCGGCTCGCAGGCTGCCTCCACAGCTCGTTGGAGCCGCTCCTCAGGGGCAGACTCGAAGCGAATGAGAGCGTTCGCCTCCGGGTTTGACGCCGCATTCATGATGTCGTCCTTCCACAAGCAAAGATACAAGCAATGACATAAACAAAAGCTTTCGGAGTTCCGCGCGGACTTCTTGGATCTGCGCTGGACCCTCTCCCCCGCGCGCCAGGGGCGGCGCTGGAGGCGACGCCACGGGGGTCCAGCAAAGATCCAAGAAATCCGCGCGGACCGTCAAAAGTTCATAAAGACGAAGCCAGGACTAGAATAACATCGGGTGGGAACAGATCAAGAATCTCTGAGATTCGGCGGCTCTGTAGGATGTCTCGGCACGCTCTGACAGCGTTCCGGAACGCACTGAACGCTCTGGAACGGATTTATCATCGTCCCAGCCCCGCCCGATTTGTGCATATTTCGTTTTGTTCTCCCCGAGCTTCCACGAGCGCCGCGGATCTCAACGATGCCTCTGCCTACCTTCTGCCGCTCCCGCTCCTCCCGCTCCTCCCGTTCCTCTGGCTCCAGCTCCGGATACTCGAGCTCCCCTATCTCCTTCAACACCTCCCGCCCCTCGTCCTCCTCCTCGCCCTCCTCCTCATCATGCACCTCCTCACCCTCTTCCCTTCCATCTTCCTCCTGCTCCCTCTTCCTCCTCCTCCTCCTCCTCCTGCTCCTCATTCTCATCCTCATCATCCCAAGATGTCTCCTCGGCAGTCCCCTCCTCCAGCTTTCCCTTCCTTGCCCCCTTTCTCAGTCTGGACCTCCCTCTACACCTCCCTTTGAGGCGGTGCACCTCCTTGCTAACCCCTTTCTCTCTCAACTCATTTTCCCTGCCTTGACCCCTCCTCCCTCACCCTTCTTGCTTCCCCCAAACCCTCCTCCCCTCTCCCACTCCCATTTCTATCCCTTCCCCTTGTACCACAGTATCACTGTCGCATCCTCCCTCCTCCCCGTCCCAATCCCCCCCGTCTATCATCCCTCCTGTATCCGCCCCCGTCCCTCCTACCTAACTCTCCCTCCCCCTGGTTCCCTGTCCCTCCTCCCTCTTGGAACTCCTTGAGCCTGTCTTGGGTCGGGCTCAGGATAATGGGGCGTGTTGTAGGGCTTCTGGAAACGCATGTGCTGGCCTCGGAGCTGTCGTGAGACCCTCTGAGGAGCGCTGGAGGCTCCTTCGAAGCCATCGGGGCCCGAAACGGGTGACAAAAGAAACACTGGAGACGCAACACTCGAAATGATCTTCAACTCTCAGGGGTCGCTCACAATCTACAGGGGAAACCTTGCGTACCTACAATGTGTCCACTGGTGTCCTGAAGGCGTCCTAAAGCGGTTCGCCAAAGGGAGCTGGTTCTGATACCCCCTGGCTCGCCAACGCTTGAACGTCCATTCCCCGTACATGTTTCGGTTTTGCGCGATTTGTTTCGCAAGATGATCCAGGATGCTCCTCGATGGTCCTCGCCTACCTCGCCTACCCAAGGACGCACCGACAACCTCTGCAGCAATGGCAACATCACTGGGCCCAGCCGGAGCGGCTAAACACAGGAAAAGGGCATACGATCCCCTGTGAAAGCTATGCAGGACGCCGTGGCATTGGACATGCCATGGCACCAACTTTAAGCAATTCTAGCGAAAAGGCGAAGATTGGTAGAGGAACAAAGAACTGCATAAGCATGAACTTTCGGAAGTCCAGGTGGGCTTCCTAGATCTGCGCTGGACCCCCCTCCCTGGCACGCGGAGCGCGCCAAGGGCGGCGCCGGAGGAGCCGCCAGGGGAGCCCCAGCGCCGATCCAAGAAATCCGAGCGGAGCGTAGAAAGTTTATGTTTACGCAGCAGCTTGTTCTTCTACGAATTCACGAGGAAGAGGAGTAAGGGCAGGAGTGAAGGGATCTGTGCATCACCGCCCCGCAGAGCCAGGGAGGGCGAGGTCCCGTACGGCGAGGTCTACGTTTTTGGCTTCGACCTGCGTAAGCATCACGCTTCGCTAGGCTCCCAAGACGGACTCGGGAAAATGGCGACAGTCGCACGCCAGGCAGCCGATCCATGCTGAGCTTTGCGAATAACGCCAGCGAGGGAGCGAGGGAGGGAGGGAGGGAGGGAGGAGGAGTAGGAGGAGGAGGAGGAAGAGGAGGGGGAGGGAGGAGGGAGGAGCTGGAAGGAGGAGGAGGAGGAGGAGGAGGAGGGGGGGGAGGAGAAGGAAGAGGAGGAGGAGGAGGAGGAGGAGGAGGAAGAGCAGCAACAAGTGCCACATACAAGACGAGGACCCAACACAAAAAGGTTGGCAATTTTGTGCGGCAGTCTCAGGGAACACAGAAGAGCATTCCAGAAGGCATCCGTCCCAGAGGGCATCCGTCGAGACGGACCTGTGGCGTAATCCCTCCACGATGCCCTCGGGGCCGCGTCCGACTGGTCTGTGGCGACCCTACATCCATCTTGAGGCGTACGGGGCATTCTGGGAATATCCTGGTATTCCTCCTTCTCCTCCTCCTCTTCCTCCTCCTCCTCCCCCTCCTCCTCTTCTTCCTCTTCTTCCTCCTCCTCCTCCTGCTCCTTCCTCCTCCTCCTCCTCCTCCTCCTACTCTCCTTCTTTTTATTCGTATTAGTATTCATCGTCTTACCTCTTGCTATGCTTCTGATGAATGGTTTTCTTATGTCGAAAGCGTGCTGAGTAATGCCAGCTCTATCGTATCATTACTATTATCCTATTGTTAGTAGTATGAACGTTATTCGTAGCGTTATCATACGTATTAGTAAGATTGCTAGTGTGTTCCGTATGCTTTGTAGTAATAGCATTAGCAGTCTTATTACTTACCCTGCTAGTTCCCTACATAGGCTCTGCCTAGAAGGGTTCTTACTCTCTTAGCTTAAAGGGCCGGGCAGTGTAAACCGCCCCGGGCGGTTCCCCCAGTCCCCGCCCCGCGGTTCCCCCAGTCCCCTGAGAGCGTTAGCTTTAGCTTTAGCTTTAGCTTAGCTTTAGCTTAGCTGTAGCTTAGCTTCAGCCTAGCTTTAGCTTAGCGTTTAGCTTAGCTTTAGCTTAGCTTTAGTTTTAGCTTTAGCTTAGCTTTAGCTTGGCTTTAGCTTAGCGGCACCTTAGCTTTAGCTTAGCTTTAGTTTTAGCTTTAGCTTAGCTTTAGCTTAGCTTCAGCTTAGCTTTAGCTTAGCTTCAGCTTAGCTTCAGCTTAGCTTTAGCTTAGCTTTAGCTTAGCTGTATCTTAGCTATACCTTAGCTTTAGCTCAGCTTTAGCTTAGCCTTAGCTTGGCTTTAGCTTAGCTGCACCTTAGCTTTAGCTTAGCTTTAGCTTATAGTTAGCTTAGTTGTAGCTTAGATTTAGCTTTGCCTTTACCGTAGCTTTAGCTTAGCTTGAGCTTAGCTTTAGCTTAGCCTTCACCGTAACTTTAGCTTAGCTTTAACTTAGCTTTAGCTTATCTGCACCTTAGCTTTAGCCCAGGTTTAGCTTAGCGGTAGCTTAGCCTTAGCTTAGCCTTGGCTTAGCCTTAGCTTAGCTTTAGCTTAGCTTCATCTTAGCTGTAGCTTACCTTGAGCTTAGCTTAGCTTAGCTTTAACTTAGCTTTAGCTTAGCTTTAGTTTAGTTTAACCTTAGCTTTAGCTTAGCTTTAGCTTTACTGTTCGTACTAATGCTGCTTTCCTAGGGGCTCCAACTCCTATGTAGGGTCGCACTGGGATAATTTTAATATTCCCCCTCCTCGTCCTTCTCCTCCTCCTCCTCCTCCTCTTCCTCCTCCTCCTCCAAACCTCAAACCATTCAGGCCCGAGGCATTTTGGACGAGCAAACCCCGTACCTCATAGTGGTGTTTGAGTCATTTGTTCCTCCTGTTTGGTGCACAGGCAGAGAGGATCGACGAAAGCGGGGTTCATACATACACACATCATACACAGCATGGCGGCGGCTCCAATCAGACCCTGGAGCAAGCGCGCGCGCTGCAAGACGCTAGAGTACAATGACATGCTGGTGAGCAGGAATTGCGCATGCGGCAACTGTGTGAAGAAGGCTTCGTGTCTTCCAGCCACGGTCGCCATCGCCACGGAGCCGTCGCGTGGCACTCGACAGGCAGGTCGAGCTTACCGAGAGCGATGACAAGGCGGCGTCCGTCCGATTGCGCAGCCCCCGCAGGACGGCTTCCAAGGAGAGGGCGGCCAAGCAGCAGCTGGCAGCGCTCCTGGAGCAGGTCATGAAGGCGGCCGACAGCGAGGATATGAAGCACGTGATGCATGTCCAGAGCGAGAAGCTGGCTGAGAGGGCCGCCCAGGCGGCCGCCAAGCCCGAGGCCGAATAATTTCGCCGCGCTGACGGCGCGTGGAGGGCGGCTGCGCTCAAGCACGAGCAAATGGCGACGCAGGTGCTGCTTCTCAGGACGCAGCTCCGGAATGCGGAGTCCAAGGATGAAACCGCTGCCCTCGAGCTCGCGCCCACAGAGGGAAAGCCGCCCAAGCTCTCGCGCAGGCCGAGGTGCTCAGCGCGACCAGCCAGGGCGACTTGGGCGGGGGTAAGAGCCCCGCCATGGAGCCGAAGATCAGCAGCGAAGTCTTCGATCAGTTCGAGGAGGGGGTTGCGACGAAGAGGACAAGAAACAGCTCGGGCTGCTCAAGGCCCAGCTTGCCGGCGACCAGAAGGAGCTCGGGGCGCAGGATTCCGAGGTCAATCAAGGCTTTCCTCGAGAAAGTGGCGCAGGTCGAGCAGGGGGCCAGCGATCGCGCGGTGAAGGAGCGCTGGTGCGTCGACGCCGACGGGAACATTAAGGAGGCGACGGGCGACAAGCCCGAGTCCGAGGGTCTACGGAGGGGGGAGGCCGACAGGATCTCTGCGGCGAAAGCCGCTGCCGCCGAGGCCGTCGCGCGCGGTGGCCCTTCGGGCGGCGCTGCAAGCGGCGGCCCCAGGGCGGCGCCAACGGCGACGCGGCAGGCCCAGTGAGCCAGCCTAGCGTCGCCGACCAGACGGCAGCGGCGGCGGCAACAGGAAGCGAGAGCGGCGGCGGGGTTGACGCGCCCGTCGACCTGCTGGGCGGAGATGCCGAGCCGTGGCTAGGCCCCCGACATTAACTGTAAAATCAAAGTCATGAAC